GAATGAAGCCCACCAGATCACGATAAAAGTGTGTTTACTCCAACTAATGTTAACTATATATTGCTAGAAGTTCACTCTGAAATATGTGGTGAACAGTTGGGAGAGAGTTCTTTCGCCCTCAGGATAATGAGGGAGGGATTACTAGCCAACTATAAACCAACATGTGTTATATTTTACCAAGCAATGAAAAATTTGCCTTTTCATTTTAGTTTTACACACACGTCACTGACAGAACTAACGTCTCTTCAAAGCCCGTGGTTGTTTAACTAATAAGGGTAAATATTCTGGGACCTTTTTCTATGGAAATTTCATGATTTTGGGAATTAATTACTTAACTAACTAGCCAAAAGTTGAACCCCTTACCAAAATTATAGAGGCAAATGCCACACAGTTTATTTGAAAGAAAATAATATTTTATTTTGGCATTCGTGTAAAAACTATTACTGATAACAAAACTCAATTCATTGGAAAAGTTTTTAATTCTTTTCATAAGGATCTATGTATCCAACTATTACATACATTTGAAGCCCATGTCTTTAGAAGAATAAGCAAACAGAGGTCACCAACCATACCATACTCAAGTAGCTTAAATTTTACCTCGGGAAGGCTAGGAGGCAATGTACAAAAAAACTCTCCAATGTTCACTAGGTTTATCACACCACTTCTTATACTCAAATTGAGAGAAACATCTTACAATCTTTTTTTTTTTCACATATAAGCAGTTATCCTAATTGATATTGGAATCTTAAGCCTCTGAATTTAGGATTTCAATCCTGATGTGGATGATTAAAAACTTAAACAAAACTCGAACCATCTACAGAACCAATGAAGTGGCATTTATCAAAGCCTCTTCATAAAATCAATGGTTAGCGCACAACTTAGATAGAAGGGTAAAACCTTGGCCAATATCCAATGGGGACTTGACCTTATGAAAACTTGAGTCAGCCCAAAAAAGGCTTTCAACATAGTAAACTTTGCCCCCTTTAGCAAAGGTCATACATGTTCACAATTATGATCAAGCCTAGAAATTTCAAGCTAAAAGACCTAAAGGGAAGACATTTACTTAAACATAGAACAAAGAAAATTTTTTCATATATTATTAGTGATTAGCATAGTTGTGCTACCCTAGTTAGTATTTTTTCTTTATTTGCTTTCAGTCTTCACTTTATATCCATGTTTTCTTTCCTTTATATTTTATTTAATTTTCTTTCAAATTTTGATGTACTTCACATTATTTGAGTAGTAAAGTTGTGTTTTCTCCTATACATACAAAACTTTATTTGAATGCAATTGTGATTGCATTCTCAATAAAATTTAAGATTACTTTGCAGGCTCTTGCGAACAATGCTCTCTCTAGGAGGCAGTAAAATAAAAAGTAATAAAAAAGTTGGCAAACATCATCCTTGAATATAGCTACAATTACATATCTATGAAAAAGCATGGTCTATCTCAAAAGTTCTAAGTGTTCATTAGAGATTACATTCTGGTTATGATCAATCTTAAAGCAACAATTGAGCAGGATCTTTTAATTATCCTTATGCATTGAGGATTATAAAAACAATTTAAGTTGCATAGAACAAATGAATAACTCTTAAAAATATTAATCAGGTGATAGCACCTAAACTTTGAGGAGTGTAATAATTTGCAGTGCATCACCAAGCAGATGAATTTTAGAAAGTGATATGTGTCATTTTACTTAAGAGAAGAGCAACTTATGCCTTTGGAAGTATCCTTGGGCAAAGAAAAATGGATTGGTTTTGTGGCTAGCATTGCTTTGACTATTTTTATAGGATAGCACCTAAACTTAACTTTCTACACTTATATCACCCAAATCTATCACATCACATATTTTAAAATATCATTATTACATTGAACCATATAACCATATCATACTCTTGCAAATATGGTAGCAATCTAAAGTTGCACTATTACCTACCATCAGTTCAAAAATAGTTTGATGGAACCATTGAATGAAATTATCTGTTGACCTGCTTTCAAATAAAATTTGAGCTGGTATCTAATTATTAAAAATTGGTATGCCATTAAGGGATTCTTACAAATTAATCCATCCAAGTAATTCCTAAAATCTTACTTCTTAAGTGGGGGTCACATTCTTCTGATTGCATTTATACAAATGAGTATGTAGAAGTATATGTGTAAGTAGATGTGCATATATATTACCCTTCAGAATTTGAAAATAACTAAAGACTTAAGAGAAAAAAATAGTAAGATTCCAAAATGGTGATAATCGGATTTCAATAAAACACAAGAATTGAGATGTAAGATCAACCATATAAGAGTGTTTTGAAAATTGAAAATCAATCTTTATCTATTAGAAATTAATATAAGCTCATATACATTCCTTAAGGCTTATCTTGCATGTACAAACAGTTCCACGATAGGGAAAAAATAATTTATTAAATGGAGAAGCTATTAATAACTTTTGCCTACAAACGTTATTGCTTGAATGAACCTCAAATTCAAAATATTCAAATATAGTGGCCTTCTGATCTAGTATGTACTCTTTGCACTCAAAATTTGGGCAACATTTAACATAAATTACATTTATATGAAATGAATAATTCATTTCAAAGTGAAAATTTAGGAAATAACGTTTAGTATATTTGTTACTCACATATATATTTTCAAAGAAAATTACATCTATATCACATAAGATTAGTATGTTGGAAGATTTGGAAGACAAACTCACATATATTTATAAAAAAGTGTATGAAAAATTGCAACCAAACATTATATCCTTACCTAATGGTGACACAATTTCAAAATGCGGAGGCAAAATTAAATGCTTGTGTTACCTCAAACTCTTTGACAGGAATACAATATTTTTGTCTTGTCTTGGTTGGAGATGTTCCTTTATACAGACTCCTAGGTTGCCCACTTTGGGAGGATACCAAAGTAGAGATGAAGGGACAATTACAGAAGAAAAGAAGCAAAATAGAAATTACTTGTGAGCAACATTATTATTTTCCAAAAATAGCAAATGTGTTGCATTGAATGGTTGGATGATGATGGGAGAAATTGGTTGGCTGGATGGGAATAATAGATAAACAAAATTGGTACATGGGAAAAGAAAGAATGGGAAACGAAAGAATAGTTGGTTGTCAAGGAATCTCCAAAAGCTAAAAATAGATGAAATATGATGCCAAAGTTGTAAATATTAACTTTTCAGGTGCAATGTATATGTTGATCCAATGAAAGAGGTTGCTTCATTTTCTAAATACCAAAATTTACGGTCCTATGTATGTACTCGAGCAAATGAAATATGGAAGAAATGAACGCTTAGTTGGATTGTTAGCGACAAGGAGAAGATGCTACATAACAATGAATCAAACTAGAAATCGAGTTGCGTACTTAATGGTGAAAGTTGGTCCAACAACTTGGTTCCAACTTCTGGTTTCGATGTGGGCATTGTTGATAATTACAAAGGAATCAGCTATCATAACGACCGGCCAATCATTGGGGCAATATGGTGTTCGTTTAACTTTTCAGGTGCAATGTATATGATTGATCCAATGAAAGAGGTTGCTTCATCTTCTAAATACCAAAATTTACAGTCCTATGTATGTACTCGAGCAAATGAAATATGGAAGAAATGAACGCTTAGTTGGATTGTTAGCGACAAGGAGAAGATGCTACATAACAATGAATCAAACTAGAAATCGAGTTGCGTACTTAATGGTGAAAGTTGGTCCAACAACTTGGTTCCAACTTCTGGTTTTGATGTGGGCATTGTTGATAATTACGAAGGAATCAACTATCCGAACGACCGGCCAATCATTGGGGCAATATGGTGTTCGCATAACCAACAACTATTAGAAAACCTAAAATAACAATAGAAATAGATGATGACAATGGTTTTTGTCAGCCAGTAATTTCTCAGGCAGGGATGATAAATGCAACGTGAAAAAAAGAAAATCGATAGTTATAATAGAGTATTTACATACCGAATGTGAAACATCGCTCTGAATGTTGAGGGCTTCTCGCGTTTCGAATTTCACCATGGACGACTTTGTGGTGGACGCGATCAGTCATGGATCTCATCCAAACGACATTATTTTCATTTCTTTGCATTATTTGAATTGCGCTGGAGGCCCCCACGACCACAAACGAAGCCTAAAATATGGTTTTTATTTTTTAGTGTCTTTAAAGTAGCGCTAAAACGGTAAAAAATCCAAAAACTAACTTTTTGTTATGTTTGAAAATTTTAAAATGCCACTTTGCTTTGAAAATTTTAGAACGCCAGTTTTTAAACTTTTGCTTTAAAATGGAATTCGTTAAACAGTGAAGCATTTACAAACCAGCCCTAAGTATCAACATAAAAGTTTAAAGATTATGGTACTTTGAAATTTTTAGAACGGCAGTTTTTAAACTTTTGCTTTAAAACGGAATTCGTTAAACAGTGAAGCATTTACAAACCAACCCTAAGTATCAACATAAAAGTTTAAAGATTATGGTGTTGTACCAAATTTTGTTGAAATCATGTAAACAGAAATGGATGAAAACTCTCAACATACTCAAAGACAGTAATTAACAACAACAACAAATCATCGCATTGAAAGAAAAAATAACCAGGAGATTTCCAAGGAGATTGTAAAGGCCCACCTTCATGCAATCCTTGTAACTATTCACTTGTTTGTTTTCTTTTTATTTTCTTTCTTTTTTTTTTCCTCCTCTATTACATAATTTGCTAAATTTCTTTTCTTTTTTTTTTTCCTCCTCTATTACATAATTTGCTAAAATTATAAGCTAGCTTAAACCACCTAGGATTCAGATCTATTAAGCTTTAAGTAGCCCAAGAATTAGGCTAAGCTTAGAGCTCAACACCCAAATATTGAAATTTCTCCAAAACTTATTAAATTGTCCACTTGCAAATTTTATTGGTCCAACCCTCCTCTAATCAACTAAGGGATCTAAAGCTCTTTTAATATTATATAATCGCACCATGTACCTAATTCTGTAACACAATTTTGCTTCTCACTTCTACACAGGAAATGGTATAACACAGGCATCTTGAGATCTTATACTTGATGTTGAAATTCTATCTTACCTGCAATGAGATTCCAGTATGTTTTTACAGACAACATTAAATTGGCATACAGTTTGTGCAGCTGCAAAGTACTTAAGAGGGGATTCAAATCCCTTCCATCCAGCCGTTGCCCGCCAAAATGAACGCATAGTTAAGAAATCACACTCTCAAACTCACTTGTCACCATGAACCGTCACTTTTGTTGCTTGTCGCTTTCGAATTTCCAATCACGAATCTCTTCAAACTCTTACCTTTCTTTTCATCTCCTACCTTCTCAAACTACCAGAAACCCAAAATCACGTCCAAATTATCATCTTTCCTCCTTAATGCCACTAGAACAGACCAATAGATTCACTTTCAACAATCAAAAACCCCAGCAAGAGCCCAGCCACGTGTACAATGATATTTTCCACTGCTACCATGGCTCTTGCAATCCCGGTGATGCCCAAAGCCTCCACCTTCAGATTATCAAGAAAGTTCCTCAAGATTTGTTCCTATCGAACAGTTTGGTCAATCTATATGCAAAGACAGGGTATCTAGACTATGCACAACAAGTGTTTGATGAGATGCCTGAGAGGAACAGTGTTTCCTGGACATGCTTGATTGCAGGATATTCCCAGCAGGCATTGCCTGAGAAAGCCTTGCAACTTTTCAAATCAATGTATTCAACTGGGTTAGTGCCAACACAGTTTACTTTTGGTAGCATTATTCGAGCATGTCAGGACTTGGACTCTCATACGTCAAGTCTTGGCAAACAGATTCATGCCATGGTTATGAAAAGTAAGTATTCCCTCGACACTGTGGTGCTGAATTCATTGATATCAATGTATGGAAGCTGCCTTTTTGAACCAAAAAGATATGCAGATGAAGTGTTCAATGGCATACCAGTAAGAAATGCTATGTCATGGAATTCAATCATATCTGTGCATGCTCAGAGGGGAGATGCTGCTTCTGCTTTTGACTACTTCTCGAGGATGCAGTCTGGATTGGATTCTAGCTTCGAGCCAAATGAATATACATTTGGGAGCTTGATAGCAGTTAGTTATGCTAGTTCTTCATTCAGTATGGTGTCTTTTAACTTTTACTTAATCAAACAGATATTATCAAGAGTTTCAAAGTCCGGCCTTTTGTGTGATCTATATGTTGGTAGTGCTATGGTTAGTGCATTTTCAAGATACGGCATGTTTGACATTGCTAGAAAAGTCTTGCTCGAGTTGAGTAATAGGAATTCAGTTTCTGTCAATGGTTTGATGCTTGGACTTATCAAGCAAAATCATGGAGAAGAGGCAACAGAAGTTTTTCGGGAGGCAGGAGATCTGGTTATGAAAAATTGTGATTCTCATGTTGTTCTTCTAAGTGCAATGGCCGAATTTGTGAACTTGGAGGAAGGGAGAAGAAAAGGGAGTGAGATACATGGTCTTGTAATTAGAAATGGCCTCATTGATTGTAAGATTAACGTGTGCAATGGACTTCTTAACATGTATTCTAAATGCGGCGCCGTAAACAAAGCTCTCAGGGTTTTTAAATGCATGAGCAGTCAAGATCAGGTGTCATGGAATTCTATAATCTCTGGTCTTGATCAGAATGGAATTTTTGAGGAGGCACTACAATATTTTAATGATATGATGAGAGCCGGTTTTATGCCTTCAAATTTCTCCATAATTAGTTCACTAAGTTCTAGTGCAAGCTTGAAATTTTTAGGATTCGGTTCACAAGTGCATTGTGTTGCATCAAAAATAGGACTTGATAAAGATATCTCTGTTTCGAATTCACTCATAGCAATGTATGGAGAATCTTTAAGTATACCCGAATGCTGGAAAATCTTTTTTTCAATGCCTGACTATGATCAAATTTCTTGGAATTCTATGCTTGGAATACTAGCCAGTTCTGAGGCATCATTGGAGGAATCACTTACACTCTTTTTGGATATGATGCAAAACGGATGGAAACCAAATAGAGTGACATTTGTTAACCTTATTGCAGCTTTAACACCATGTTCTGCTCTTGAATTTGGGAAGGAGCTGCATTGTTTAGCTGAGAAGTGTGGGATGTCTGATGACACTGCTGTGGAGAATGGATTTCTATCTCTCTATTCTAAATCAGGGGACATGGAATCTACTGAATGCCTCTTTGCCCGAATGTTTTACAGGAGGGATGATGTGTCGTGGAATACCATGGTTGCTGGTTATGTTCATAATGGACTCTTATCAAAGGCCATGGATCTTGTTTGGCTTATGATACATACCGACCAAAAACTGGATTGCTGCACCTTCACCACTGTTCTAAGCGCATGCTCCTCTGTGGCGGCATTGGAGAGAGGTATGCAAATCCATGCTTTTGGAATAAGAGCTAAATTGGAATCTGATGTTGTCGTTGAGAGTGCACTTGTTGACATGTACTCCAAATGTGGACGAATAGACTATGCCTCAAAGGTTTTCAACTTCATGCCTCTGAAAAATGAATACTCATGGAATGCTATGATTTCCGGTTATGCCCGACATGGGCAAGGTGTAAAGGCTTTAGAGCTATTCAGAATGATGCAGGATAGTAACCTGCAACCAGATCACGTCACCTTTGTTGGTGTTCTCTCTGCCTGCAGCCATACTGGTTTAGTGGAACAAGGCCTAGATTTTTTTGATTCCATGAGCAAGAAATACAATTTGATTCCTCGAATTGAGCATTATTCATGTGTGGTTGATCTTTTGGGTCGAGCAGGTGAGATTGACAAGATGGAAGAGTTTTTAAAAGCTATGAAAATTGCCCCTAATAGTCTCATATGGAGGACAGTGCTGGGGGCTTGTTGCAGATTAAAAGTTGGAACAAAGACAAACTTATTCAAGCATGCATCGGAAATGCTTCTTGAACTGGAACCTCATAATCCAGGGACTTATGTTCTTATTTCTAATCTTTATGCTTCCAAAGGGAGATGGGAAGGTGCGGCAAAAGCAAGGGTCTCATTGAGGGGTGCTCAAGTGAAGAAAGAAGCTGGTTGTAGCTGGGTCACTCTCAGGGATGGTGTGCATGTATTTCGATCTGGAGATAGGACACACCCGGATATGGAGAAGATACATGACAAGCTACATTTCTTGAAACAAAAAATGAAGGAAATAGGTTATGTTCCTCAAACTGAGCTTGCTTGGTACGACATTGAAGCAGAGAGCAAGGAAGAGCTGCTCAGCTACCATAGTGAGAAGCTTGCACTTGCATTTGTTCTCACTAGATCTTTAGGGGTGCCTATAAGGATCATGAAAAACCTTAGAGTTTGTGGTGATTGTCACTTGGCATTTTGCTACATTTCTAAGGTCATTGGACGACAAATAATTTTACGAGATTATAATCGGTTTCATCACTTCGAAGATGGAACGTGTTCCTGTGGGGATTTCTGGTGAATGACCATAGCTTGTTTGCTTTGGGCTTCACAAATTTACTGATCTAATAGATGCTTCTGAAGAGGGCAGAATAAAATTTTTGTTGCATTTCTGAAATTATCCTAAAATAACTTAAAAACAGATTTCAGCAAATAGCAGGAATTCATGATTGAAGGCTGGGTGATTGCATCACTTGAATGGTACTCGATGAGTCATTTTCAGTTTGTTTTAGACACTGATAGTGATCCGACACGTGGAATGATATCTCCAAGTAAATATTGCAAATACAGAGTTTGGTGCAGTACAATTCAGATAATCCTCAGATTAGGGCTTCTTTTTAATGTCACCTTTTATTCAGACCTGGATTGTTTTAACATCAGTTTACAGGTGAAAATTCTGCTTCAATTGGGTATTTTAAAGTAGTTTTTTTAGTAAATCTGAACCTTCAACTTCGTCTTTGACATCAGAGGCAATATCATTCAACCAAAGAGCATAATATCTTACGCAATGGACTTGGTGATCATAATGCGCATTGATTTTCTTACAAGTAAAAGGGCTTTTTGGCATAAAGAAGTTCGAGCATCTTCCAAATGTTGTATTCCCTCTTCTCCCAGCCTAAAGCATCCATTCTTAAGCTAATCTAAATTCGAGATTCGAGTAAGAATCCATTTCTATTTGTTATTAGCAAAGTTTTGGATTATTTAATTGCATCACTCTTTCTATGCTGTAAGATGTTTGCTATCATAGATATAATTTTTTTTTTCAGTTGGCAGCTTGTTAGCAGATTCTCAAAACTGATAGAATAAGCCTAAAATTTATAAGACATTTCCGTTGACTAATTCCCTCCCTCAAAAAAATTACAAACTATTTCCTCCTGAGAAAAGGAGGATTCTCAAATAGCTCTTTGACCAACTAAAAGAACAAATGAGCATTCATTTATCATTTTTGTGTAACTTTGCTTTAAGATTTATTCCATATGCATTGAACTGGAACCATAGCAAACTCTATCGCTATGGTCAGAATGCAGGGTAAATCACTGAGTTCACGTTTAATCTGGTATTTAATGGTCTCCGACTTTGTGAGACAACAATCCTTGAGCAAAACTCTGACCATATCAGATACTGGCTTCGGGAGAACAAACTCCAGAGGTTATCCAAACCAGAATTTAGTTAGGGTATATGTTAACAATGATAGATTTATTTTGAGATAAAAAATTAATTGATTATTTATATATAGCATTCATCCCAATTTAACTTAAAAGAGTTTCACATGCATCATGATCATATTTTGATCAATATTTGACCTAATTTTATTCCCGCCTTCTGCAACCAGAAGCAAGGAGTAAACAGTCCAATAATTGGTCTAAAATGTTTGGGAAATGGAGAATGATAAAATCAAATCATATATAATGAACAAGGACAAAAGCAATTGCAATAAAAAGACAATAAAACCTAAGCAGCCAGTACGACAACAACAACAACAACAAAGCCTTAATCCCACTACGTGGGGTTGGCTACATGAATCCTTTTTCTCCATTATGTCCTATTTAGTGTTATATTTTCATTTAGTTCTAATAAATTAAGATTATTTTTAATACAATAAGCCCAAGTCTTCCTAGGTCTACCTCTGCCTTTTTTAACATAAGTCGAATCTAAAACATCTACTCTCTTAATTGGATCATCAGATGGTCGACGCTTAATGTGACCAAACCATTTAAGATGACTTTCTCTAATTTTGTTCATCACAGGAGCTACACCAACCCTATCATGGATAAAATCATCTCGCATGTTGTCTCTAAGCGTAAAGCCACTCATCCACCTAATCACTCTCATCTCGGCAACACTTAACTTAGTATTATGCTTCTCTTTTAGAGGCCAGCATTCAGCGTCAACGAGCATTGTAGGTCTCACCACCATCTTATAAAATTTTCCTTTCAGTCTAAGTGTTACTTTTCTATCACACAAAAGGCTCGAAGTCGAAGCATTACCAACCAACTTGAATTCTACTATTAACATCCCCATCTATATCACCATCACTTTGAACAACAGATCCGAGATATCTAAATCGTTCACACCTTTTAATAATTTGATCACCCAAAGTTACACTTCTCTCACTAGAGCTACTACCACTAAAATTACATTCCATGTATTCAGTTTTAGTTCTACTGAAATGAAGGCCTTTAGGCTCCAATGTAGACCTCCATAAATCAAGTTTTTCCAAGGCTTTTTCTCTCGTCTTATCCACGAGAAGGATATCATTAGCAAAAAGCACACACCAAGGTACATCCTCTTGTAAATGTCCAGTAAGATAACTAGAGCAAAAAGCATACACCAAAGATTTTGATTTAGTTGAACAAAATTGAAATCCTGATGGTTGATAAACGCGGGTTTGAGTTAAAAAGATGCGATGAAGAACAATAACAGAACAAAAAAGGGGAAAAATGGATGGGGGGAGGGAAAAAATGGTATTCTTTCCATCCTTTTATTGCAACCATAAACCCCAAAAACCTGGAAGACATGCCCTAATGAATAACACACTGGCTTCTTCTGGCCTATTTCTTCTCCAGATCACCCTCGGAGAGGCCATTATCACTGCAAAATGAGGCAACTTTGCATTATCACATGCTGACATAGCTAATATCATATACCACTATTGAGGTGCACAAGTGGCTTGCAAGCATTCAATGTAGTGCAAAACAATTAACAGAATCATTAATCCCTTTGTAACAATCTAAGATGATGATTCACAACTGCTCCACACTATAATGCTGAATACAAAAATAAATCTTAGCACACATAGTTATGTTAGGATATGGAATGTGCATATGGAGTCAATATTTAAATTTAATGCAAGGAAAATGAAATAAAAACATAATGAACAACATTATATGTTACCTTATTTGCATATGACTCAAAATTATAGGACCAACAAATGGAACATGCAAATCAACTAAAACACCGATTATTAACTTGTGCCTACTTTTTCTTTTTTTTGGTTCAAATCAAATAATCATGATTTCTACGAAAGAAACAGGCCACTAAAATTTAACAATGAGCTTACAACACAAAAAGGAGCTAAAATGAGAACTAATCAAAGGCCGATGTATATACAAGTCAAAAGATTTGCAATACTATGTTTTCGAATGTGAGATGGTTATGATGCTGGAGGTTAGAATTTACTTCATTAGTTGCATTTGTGGTTTAATTATAAAACATAATTGTTATATTTTTGCATGGTATTTAGATGTTTGGCTCAGCAAGTTTTGCGCTTGACATTAATGAATAGAAATGGCATACCTGAGCTCAAATTCTTGTATCTTACTAAGTTCCGTACCACATGTATCTGACCATTGAACTTTTCTCCTTCCAGTAAAATAGGATATGTTGATTTGAACCTCTTCCATGAAGTTGCGTGCAGCATCATCTTTACCAATCATAACAACGCTATTTATATACTACTTCTTAAGGCCGCTCTTAAGCCATCCCTTTCTTTCATTATGCTTGGATGAGACTGATTGTGATGACGGCTCTATCTGAAAAATTTTCTATTGATATTTCTGAATGGAAAAAAGGGCCTGACTAATGATGCAATGATCCATCATCACAGGAAGATCCACACCCAAAACAGGTGAAGGAAGAGCAACCATGTGGAACTTCATCTTTCAATGAGGTCAACTTGAAATCATTACCCAAATCTTGATGAATCTATCGATATTGCTTCCAAGGTGAAATATTCATATTACTTTTTTCATTTCTTACGTACAAGAAGCAGAATTGAAAGACCACTACTTTATCCTGATGCTGAAGTGTAAAAGAAACCTCCTCCTTCCACTGCAAACAACATTACCTCAGCTCATAAAATCTCTTCTAACCTGGACTGTAAGCAAACTGCATCTCTTGAAGCCTTCAAGCCAAGAAAGATAACATTTATACTTCCATATTGTTACAATGAGCTACTAAAGGAAAACAACAATTCTATATCAGTTAACTCTCGCAGGCATAAAGAATTTTATAAAGTTCATAGCAGTGCAGAAGGCTGTGAAGGTAGAGTTACTTTCACATATAAGGTGAGTTTTAGGGGCTGTTCGGTAACTTACATAATTTAACTGAAGTAGATACTAGTAAATCTTGTATATTTAGGTTTAGTAAAATCTTAAAATTTGCTAAATCTCAAAACTATTTGTCATGACAGATGTTAAAAGTTTTGATAGATGTTAAAGTCAGGTTAAATCCTACAGTAGCAACTTATGTTGAGATTTAAGTTTGTTAACTTAAAGTAGTATTCAAATAATAATTTTTGATGAAAAGGTAATTAAATGATAATATCTATTTAGTCAATTTACATAAAAATAAAATTAATTTCATAAAGATTTATTTGTCCTATATTAGTTATAATTATATTAATTAAATTATAAATTGCTTAAGTTAATATATCAATTTAATATTACTAGTATTTTATTAAGTCACATCAAAATAATTTTTTATTTAATTAAATTAGGTAAAAATAATATTAGTTAGCTAATATTAATTAGTGAGACTTATATAAATTTCCAGGATCATTTATTTAATAATGGTGTAATGAAAAGGGACTTCTAGAATTTCTGTCTTTACCTTTAGTGCATTTCAAAGTGAAGACCTTTTTAATATCACCATAGATCTTCTGAAATAGAGATCTAACATTATTGAAAATGATATTATTCCTTTCAATCCATATATAATATGCAACACATTGATTGGCTAGTAGAAAAATGTTTATATCAAAACTTATCTGAAATATTCTCTGCATGAGTCAAAGCTTGGAGAATATCTCAATTCACCAAAAAGAAAGATCCATTTCGAATAGTGGATCTAAAAATGATCATTGAAATAGGGCATTCAAAGAAGAGATTTGAGTGAGTTTCATCTGCATTATCACGGAGCTGACACTTTTTATCAACCATAATCTCCTATTCTATAAGCTTATCTCTAGTACTAAAGGCCATGAAGTACCACTTTTCCGTTGAAAGAAGATTTAGTAAATTAATCTTTATTCCAGATGAATTTGTACCGACCCATATCATGAAAACTATTATAATGCTTCAAGTATAAATCGTTAGATTTTAATATTTGTTGCCAATACAATTTAGAGATAAACAATGGAAGTTTAAAATAATATTAACAATTGTAGTAAGAAATTTCAAGCTCCTTTGATTGGTAGGATTAGGAAGATTCCAATGCTCAATGACAATGATGTCAGCCAATTTAGCATTTGTAGTATTTTGAAAAAAAGTTTAAGTTTTACCACCAACATATCAAAATTTGACTTACCATGAATCCAGAAGTTCCAAAAAAGAGAAAGATTTGAGTTACTATTCATTGAAAATGACTTTTTTTTCCTTAAAAATTTTTGGCAATATTTTTGACATTTTTTCAAAAAGAGGATTGATTGGAAATATATTCGTTCAACAAGAAGCCATAAAGATTGTGAAAATAGGATAGATTTGAGCTGTTGTTATAAAGTCTGTTAATGATCTTAGGTCTTTCTAATATAATCCATCATTTCCAAAAAATAGACCATTTTGAGATCTTGGTAAGGAGGTTGTATGCAAAGATATGTCGTTGGTCTTCCTGTCCATATCACCATGATATTGGAACTTTGAAATCAAGGAGTTGATTCTCTTGATGTTACTTTTCATAATGATTGTAGATCTTAACCAGTAGTTGAGAAAATTTCACATGGTGAACCTATAAATTGCAGTCTTCCCAAAAAGAAAAGAAATAAATTGTAGTCTCCCCAAAAAAGAAGAAATTTTTGCTTCCAACTGGATAAACAATTGATGAGTGTGTTCATTATGTGGCTAGAATCTGTAGATTTAAGCTTTCTTTGGGATATGATGACTTCAAGATATTTCCATGGAAGGATTATCATCAACACTTCCTGTGAAGCAAATAGGTGATTTTGTGGGTTTCAAACTTAAACTTGAAGTATTGCCAAAAGGTGTTAGAACTTAATTCTGAGATTATCATCAACACATTTTACGAAGCAAATGGATTTTATAATTTGATTCTAGATAATTCATGTTTACATTCTAATTGAATGTTGTAAATACCAAAAGTTGCAAGGCAAAGGGAAAGTACCTATTTTAATACAAGAGAAATTGAATTGCTTGAGAATTGATCATATTTTCATGATTTTAATATAATAGAAAGAAACCAAGACACATTATTGCTAAATTTTGAATATTTCATTACATATTTGAGACACCTATATTACAACATTATATTCAGAATACGTCAAACTTAATTATGACATATTGTAAGTGCTAAATTTATTAATTTCCTTTCAGAAACCATCAAATGGCATAAAGTTCGCTTCATGAATTATGAGTATTTGTTAGTTTCATATAGTAAATTTTTTAATTAGATAATCTACAACGAGAATTGGAAATAACCTTATTATAGCCTCTGAATTTAGTAAATCAATTGCAGGGATGTGAATACAAAATTTGAAATTCATGGCTAGGTAGTTGAGACCATAGGTTGTGATATCTTGTTTTGTTTGTTTTCATTATATTTTCATTTCTTTGTTTTCTTTTTTTTTATTATTTGTACATAAGAAATGTGTTTGCGCTAATCTTAAAAAGATTCAATGTTCCAGAAGAGAAGAGCACGACAAACTCAAATCCACTGTATGGTGGTTGCAAGTCCCACCTAACCGAATGAGCCAAGTTAACTAGGCTAAAACAAACCAAGCCAAAAGACAGATATGAAGACGACCGGGTAATCCAAGTGTAAGCCACTCGACTGGAAACGAGACAAGAAAGCATCAAGCCATCCACTACAGGGATGCCAACTCGATGCAATAGCTTAACCCACAGTGGAGTCGACCCAATGGGAAATCCAATTCTGCAAAGTTACTCCAACCATCTTGTGGAGACCTGAAGACTTCCCACTAGGGATCGAAGATGGTTAACCAGGATGGATCAATCGATCGAGCTAACCCTCGTCGATCCAAATCAACTAAGCTTAGTCGGTCGAGCCAAAAGGCAGCCGGATGATAAGCTCATGCTTGTAAAATACCAAAAATACCCTAGTGCAGACCACTTTCAAATGGGAGTAAGAATGATTTATCATTATTGTAATACCTTTGTAAATAGAGGAAACATTTTATGAAAATTTAACGCTATTGAACACTATTCATTACTCTTCATCTCTCTATTTCTCTCTCTTTTCTCATTTACACTCTATTCCTTAAGTGTAATTCATAGACAATCTCAGATTTAACATTCTAAATGGTGTGATGAGCGTGGATCATACTGCCAAGAGCAATGCAAGAAAAAAGTCTCACAACAGGGAGATCGATGACAACATGGAATGTATTAGAGAATTTGTGGTCCAGCAGATCCAATATATAAAGGATCAGATTTTAGAAATGATTAGAGATTGAGTTGGGAGCAGGATCAATAAACCCAATAGGACGCTCAAACACTTAATGATAAAAGAGTTCCCCTGAACTTAGAAAGAGAATACGAAACCCAGTATCTTGATAGTGTTAGATCGACACCGATCGATATGCATCGGGCTCGATGTACTGAAGCGCCATGCTAACTAAAGAATGTATTCTTCTATTAGATCTTCTATGTCGAGCCATCGGGACGACTCAAAATTTCAACACTTGAATCTTATAAGGGATGGACGGACTTGACTGATTCCATTGCTTCCTTCTTATTGACTATTTCTTCTCCAAATCAATAACCTATTGAAGTGTCAACTCTTATTCACCAAAATCAATGACGTACTGAAGTACCAACTCTTATTCACCACATTGAGAGACTTGACTCTCAGATGGTTCAACAAATTGTCGAGAAGAGTAATCACATCGTTTGTAGACTTCACAAGCGAATTTTTTCTTGCAAAGTTTGCAAGTGCTTAGAAATCTCAGAAGAGCTCGCAGACTCTCCTGCAACTTTTGCTAGGGACAGTGTGACCCTCCGTGACTTTGTCACTCACAGAAGAAAATGTTAGAGGTTTGGGATTTATGAACCCATGATTGCTCGTGTGGTCCTCACACAATGATTAAAGAAAGGACATTTTCGTTTTGCGTTGAGATTATAGCGAACAAAGACTTTAGCCGAGCTTGTTGAAACTAGGCAAAAACTATATGTCGACAGAATAGTATAACTCATTCTCTGCTTCATTCAAAATCGAGCAAGCTAATCACCATCCACCAAAGAGAACGACCCATAGAGAAGCGTGGAAGTCGAGACACAATCCTTGCCCTCCAACCCAAGTTCTCTTCGAAGATTCCCAAAGACCATCGGATAACAGGGAGACAACTGAGGAACATGGTGAGGTGTGTCATCTTCCGGCAGATGAAGGAAACGCGCTCATGGTTTGAGAAGTCTTACAGACTGAGGATGATTTGCAGTGACTTCATTACAATATATTCTACACCCGTTGCACCGTGAATAAGAATGTATGTAGTCTCATCATTGATGGAGGGAGTAGTAATAAGGTAGCATTTACACAAATGGTAAATAAATTGTGGCTCAAGACTTAGAAACACTTTCAGCCATATCCCTGACGTGGCTGAAGAAGGAGAACAGGGTCAGCATTGACAGGAGGTACCTATTAGAGTTTTCGATTAATAGCCAATTGTATGATCAGGTGTAGTGTGATGTACTCATAGATGTTTGCCACCTATTATTGGGGAGACCGTGACAGTTTGTTGTAGAACTCAACATGACGGATTTAGAGACATCTACTCCATCATGGATGGGAAGTACATTGTCCTTCTTCATTCTGCAAAGCCCAAGATAACAT